GGCAGGGCTATTGTGAAAACCATGGAAGGTAGGAACAGATGGAAGGAACACTATGCCAAGTGAATAATAGCTTTGGTTAGAGAAAGGTGAAACCTTTTTCATTTGTAAAAGGTTACTTGTGATTTATACACAGGACTTCCTCGGTTCATGTTTCAATGTGAAGATAGGGCTTGTCAATGGTGAAGTGCTGAAAATGTCAATTTAAGTCAGACCTGCTTGTTCCCCCAAAGCCTTGCTTCTGGGTAGAACTTTTCCAAGTTTTTGTTCTTCGTTTCTCATTTCACATTCTCTTCTTGTTACTGCATCTCGCTCCTCAGAGAGATAGGGAATTGGCAAGACTTCTGTGAGGATGAAAGACCCTGAGGGCCAACCAGCATCTTTTATGTATTTTTCTTCCAGAAGAAATGTGGGCAACCCTAAGGAAGCTGGATTGGCCCTATTCGACTCACTATAGGCCTTTTTAAAAAATTGTTATTGATTTCAAAGAGGGAGAGAGAGAGAGATAGAAACATCAATGATGAGAGAGAATCATTGACCTGCTGCCTCCTGCATGCCCCACACTGGGGATCGAATCTGCAACCCAGGCATGTGCCTTGACTGGGAATCGAACCATGATCTCCTGGTTCATAGGTCGCTGCTCAATCACTGAGCCACCGTGGCTGGGCACTATGGGTCATTAAAATCTACTTAGCATTCAATGCCAACAGCTGGTTTGTTCATCTTTAGACCAACAGCCAGATTTCAGATCGTCCTCCATTTTACAAACTCTTCTCTGAAGAAAATAATAAATAAAATATCAAAGCAAAAAATAGAATGCTGGTCCCAACTAGTGTATTCTTTAGGGGCCTAGCTTGTAAGATCAGATCTAAAAAACTTTTGTCAGTTGGATGCCCAGACACTCACAGGGAAAGAAAGTAAATGCATTGATTTTTTTTATAAATAATGAGCAAAATTTAGAACATTTATCAGTCAAAGGATAATCAACTCAGTTGATTTATCAACAAGCATGATCAACTCAGTTGCCATTAGTGAGAAGCATGAGGTTTTCACTGAACTTGGGGAACACACACACACACACACACACACACACACACACACACACTTACTTCTTAAGTGATTCATACTAGCTTTGGTTCTTTCAATGTTGAAGAAGTTAGAGCCATACATAGAAGTGGATTTCCTTTTACTGTCACCCCTCTTCTCTGGGTTGGAATGGAAAAGTCTTAGACCTTGAGAAGTTCTCCTTGCTGTGTCTATGTGACCCATTTATTCATTTGGTACATTTGGGACCATCCATGTGACGAGTTTGGGCAAATGTGGAATGAGGAATTCAGGTCTTCCTTTGCCCTGAATTCTGATTCACCTCTTTGGCTTTGGGAGAGGGCTGGGAGGGCATTTCCAAGTGTGTCGTAAATGTGTTTGCCTCTGGTTTGCTTTGTGTGGATCAGACGCAGCCAATCTGGTGAATCAATGATACCACTTTGGGAAAGGGCTCTGGAAATGGAGAAGAACATTGCTTAATTGCACTCCCTCCCTCCCTGCCAGCAGGGCTGCACTTGACCACTCAGGGTGTATGTTGTTAGTCAAGGGAACAAATGCTAATCAACTCTTCCTCCCCAGGAAGTTGCACCAAGATCGTTTGGAAAACCAGATCGTGCACTATTTGTGAAAGGGAAACAGATCCTCTCACCATATCTGAAAAAATCAGAAGCTTTTTAGAATCATAGCTATTCCTTATTATAGCTCTGTGACAATGCAGAAACCTTAAATGCCTTCTGAATCCTCAAGAAACAGCTGCTGATAGCCAGTGATATTTTCATGGTGTATATTATTATGCTGTTCTGTTTCTCTGAAGAGTGGGAAACAGTTTACTGGGAGAGGCAATTGGTTCTCTGAGAGGGATGCTGGAGGAGGACTATGGAGACATGAGTGTCAATCCCAAACTTGAAGGGTTTCAATTTCAACACCTGTGAAACCAGTGGGTGAGATGATTTCTAGGACTCTTCCAGTCCTGACATTCTAAGACTTGGCCTGTCTCTAGTACCTTGAAGAGTTAATTAAGCAGAGTTTTCGTTCTCTAACTGTACCAGATAAATGAGCGAACTTACTCTATAAACTGAACGTCTCAAGCCAATAAGGAAAACCTACCCACATCTCAGACTGCCTTATGCTTGTTGATGTCAGAACAAGAATTATTGTGGGTAATCAGAGGAGGCCATGAAAAGAACAGCGTGTACCTGGCAGAATTTGTATATCAGTGCATTACAATTTGCCAGGGTGTTCTTGAAAGTTAAATCTTGCATTACATAATTTTTTAGCCCTTTCTTAAAAATGTTCCAGTTCGGTTGCAATGTTTTATGATTTCCCTTGCTTCACCGATGAACATATTGTCAATGATAAGGCTAAAATCCCCAGGTATTTTTTAATGTAAAAGGTTGAGGTTATGAAGCTAAAGGAGAAGGTTGAGCAAAGAAGCTGCTATTTAAAACATTTAGAACAGGGGTCCTCAAACTATGGCCCGTGGGCCACATGCAAATACAAATATTGTATTTGTTCTCGTTTTGTTTTTTTACTTCAAAATAAGATATGTGCAGTGTGCATAGGAATTTGTTCATAGTTTTTTTTTTAAAACTATAGTCCAGCCCTCCAACGGTCTGAGGGACAGTGAACTGGCCACCTGTTTAAAAAGTTTGAGGACCCCTGATTTAGAAGGTACGAAGGTGTATGTAATTTGTGAAAGTGTTTCTAAAGTGAATGTGACTCACCACTCAAATAAATACAAATTATTTAAAATTATAAAGGGTTATCTTAGCAAGGGCTTGATTTTCCTTTCTTTGGGGATTAAAAAAGGGTATATTTAGGTAGGCGTCTTTCTATGGTCTTATTTACAGAGATATATTATAATGTTGTCCTCCAGGGGGCGGTAAATCTTCAGCAAAGCTCCAAATTCTCTGAAGGTCTTCAAATCCAGTTAACCCTCAAAGCAGACAGTCTGGCTTCCTTCTCGCTGGAATGCAGGAGTGTTGGGGCCCATATCCTGAATTTCACATCTCAGGCTTCTAGATTAGGCTTTAAACTTTTTAGAAAGACTAGGGTGGACATGAAAAACCAGTGGCGTTTGTGGGGTGGGGGGTGGGGGGTGGGGGGTAGTGGAGAGGGAGGAGGGAATTGTCCCAATGTAGCCTGGTCTGAAAGCCCTACAGCAGGTCTGACCTCCATGGTTCATGCCAGTAACACTTTTAAAGTCAATTGATACGTCTAAAATGATAGTGCTTTCTAAGGGCAGAAATGTGATTCCTGGAGGCCCAAAGCTAACCTAATATGGATTAGAAAAGGTGATGTAGGTAAAAATGGCAAAGGATACCTCCTTCTTACTAAAGCCCCACAAAGGGCTATTTTTTTCTCTCTTATTTTTTTAATGCAACCATAGCTCAGAAGTGTGCAAACCTCTAGGTCTGGGAAGCCAGCAACTTTATGTAGTAAAGTCTACAACTGTAAAGTAATACATACAGTACAGTGGTTAAGAGGTCCATAGGTTCTGGATTTGACTGATTGGGTCTCATTACCTGCTTTACTTACTATAAGCTCTAGGGAACTGAATTCATTACGTAAACTCCCACGTCTCTGATTCCTCATTCACAAAAGACTATCTCATAGGGTAATTGTAAGGATTAATTAAGACAATCTCAAAAAAGTACCTGGTACATAGTAAGTGTTCCATAAATACCATCAGTTACTCCTATTCCTGAGTCTGGAACTGAGATCCCTATGGTCTGCCTCCAATTTGTCTCTCACTTCTCCCCCTATATAAATTCCTTCATCCCAAATACCTCCCTACACTTTTATCCCTTTGCTCTCTCTGCTTCCTCTGCCTTCCTTGGCTACATCACCATCTGATGAGATCCCACCCAAATATTGAGAATTATCTGTAATGGCACCCTAACATCTCCCCAACCCCCCCAAAACAACAACAACAACAACAACAACAACAACAACAACACACACACACACACACACACAATTCCCTACTCCAAGAACTAAATGAGCTTTCTCCTATTGTTCAGATATCACTGAACAATATCAGGGACATAATATCCTGAGGTATATACATTTTTTAAACCTAATACAGTGGGGCCTTGACTTACGAGTTTAATTCGTTCCGAGACCGAGCTCTTAAGGAGCTCGTTAACTCAAATTACTCTATCAACTCAATGCAAAAAATCGGCAGAGAGACAGCTGGTATCTCAAAAAACTCGTTAGTTGGGACAATCATAAGTCAAGGCCCCACTGTATGGGTGCATTTTTAAATATGTAGTTTATATCTCTTTAAACCAACCCAGTAGGAACATAATGAGACCTCCATCTTTGGAGAGAGGAAGACTTGGTTCAAATTCAAGTTTCGATACTCTACCGGGCAAGTCATTGAAACTGTTTCACCCACAGTTTCCTCCTATGTAAATGGGGTACAGTTGTCACTTTTTCATCCTGTAGTGAAGGCTTACAGACATAATAGTAGTATTAGAATGCCTTGCACCGTGCTTGCACACAGCTGATTATTAGGACCTTCCTTTTTACCATGGCTATTTCTGTTTATCACATACCCCTGTTCACCAGAAGGTAAGGTTGAAGACAGAATATTGTCTTTTTCTTTTCCACATTTCTAGAATAGAGTAGAAGTAGTGTGTTTAGCTATAAAAGGACCTTTATAGCTAAACACACCAACTTTTAGATAACAAACACCTGGAGGCATCCCAATTGATTAAGCCTCTGCAGAATGTGTATTCCCAACTGGGTTTACTAAGGCTCAGTACAGTATTCTAAAGTCTGACAGGTACTTCACTTGGTAAATAATTCAGCAATGGCTCCCCAGTGTACAGTAGGGTTTAATAACACATCTTTCATTATGATAGTTCTTTAGGTTCAACCAGAGTTTTCTGTTCCTCTGTAAAGCAATGGAATGACTCTACTGATTTCTTGACCAATAAGTCACTCTGTTTTCCATGGTTCAAAGTTAAGCTTTTATTTGGTTTTAAATTAAAAAAATAAATTTCATTATTAAATAGTGAGATGGAGCTAACTAATTTCAGATAGTAGCTGACTCGGGAATATACCACGGGGGGTACAATTAAGGGGTGGATCACCTAAACTAAAATCATTTGATGTGTTGTCATGTCTATTAAAAGACCAACAGTGGCATAATTCAAAGGAAATGGAGATACAAAGTTTTAAATGTTTACAATGGGTGGGAGAAGTAAACCACGTATTCTACTGCAATTTCACACAAATTTCTTTCTCAACACCAGTCAGTTTGGACACTATACCACAGTGCTAATGTCATCGGGTTCATCCGCTTTCTTTTGCCTGCTTGGCAGGGATTTCAAGTATTCAAGGTGTCTCCGGGCATCCTCCTGATTTTGCCTCACGTAATACACCACATATGAGATCACCATGGTGAACCAGCCAAACATGGTAACCAGCATGGCATAATCGGTAGTTTTTTTAGGGAGGTTACAAAGGTCAGCATCATTGGCAGCATTGAGAAATGGTCTCCCGGCGTGTTCATCCAACACGGAAGTCTTACAGATCACATTGTGGGCTGTCTCGTGATTGGACGCCATGCTCCTCAGAACTTGCTGGAGAGTACAGTCGCAGTGCCAGGGGTTGTTGGCAATTCTGGCCCTGGCCTTCAGGTTATTGAAGGCATTTTTGTGCACACTTTGAATCCGGTTGTCAGACAAGTCCAGAGTCTGCAAAGTTTCAGCTACTCCTTTGAAGGCATGCTCATCGATAAACTCAATGCCATTTTTGGACAGGTTGAGAACTCTTAGTTGATGGAGGTCCTTAAAAATCTCATTGGGAATAGATGTGATCTGATTGGAGTCCAGATACAATAAGACTGTTTCAGGAGGAAGATCTCTAGGTATTTCCTTGAGATTTGCATTGCTGCAGGTGACATTCAAACCCCCAGAGGAAGAACAAAGACAGCCCTTGGGACACATACTGGCAGAATGAAAGCACAGTATCATAAGAACAAAGCTTTGTAGGAGGAGACACATGGAGAGGGAACGGGTCAACCACAGGTCTACCAGATTCATGCTGGAATGTCCGCATAATCACAAGCCCATTCCTCATTTACTCCAACAGACAAGCATGGCAACGGTTCCAGCTCTGTCCACACCGTTGATTTCCTTCTTGTGTAGTTCAAAAGGCTGCCGCTAGCACATGTGTCTCTTCATTATTCCTGTCCTTGCTTGGATACCTAAAGGAAAGGGAAGCAGATGCAATTAGCTTTTTTTGCAAAGGGAGGTACATTGCAATTAAAAGTGCTCTCAGGCATCTGGCATTCTATCTGGGCAGGAGGGTTGGTTACACAGGTAATTTCCACTTACACCACTGGGAGTTATCTGCGTAATGGGAGTCTCCTGTTCAAATTCCAGTTGCTGGGGGAGAAAACTGTCAATAAATAACATTTCCGAATGATGTCACCTTGTTTTAGTTGTGCAGAATTAGAGCCAACAGTCCAGATTTCTTACATCTCTGCTGGTTCTTTTCCTGAACCCATTCACGTCTACAGTTGTAAAATTTAATTACACCTTCCCGCCTTCCTACAATAACATGCATGAATGAAATTTAGCCCTGCATTTGGGCAGCAATGAAAAATAACAATAATATTTCACAGGTAATGGCCATAGGTAGCAGTATCTGTCATGGCTTTTTAGTGGATTTCCAATGTGGAATATTTTCTCTACAGACATATCTTACTTGAATTAAGAAATGAATAAATGCATCCCAACCTTCATCACAAACTGTTGCTAAAGACTGACAGCCCAGAATCTCCATAAGAATTGCCTCTCATGTGACCTCCCAAAATTACATTATTCCTAGAGGATGCCCTTAACTGAATTTCCAAAGGATTCTCTCTCTATTCTCCAAATAACATATCCCTCCACAATAGATTTTCAACTATGACACATACCTCCAAGCCCTTTTTAAAATATGAGAAATAAAAAAAAAACTAGCCTTTATGAATTCCCCAATAGCCTATTTTTCCTTCCCAATCATAAATACATGGTAAGGCAAAAGTAGGTATACAGTTGTTGAGTATGCAAAACAAGAGTTTATTCTTGTATTATTATGTATTAATTATTGTATTGCATATGAACAACTGTAAGTCTACCTTTTCCCCTTTGAGAATATAAATTAACCCTCAAACCTATTCTCTTCTGTAGAGAGGACAGACATCTTTGGGGCCAGTTTGTAGAGGAGATGAGTGGATCTTAGATTCTATGACTTGCCCAAGGTCAAACAGCATGTAGGTGGTAAAGAAAGGACTCAAGCCAAAGACTTTGTTGTGACTCATTATTCTCACAACTCTCTCTGTCATCTCCACACCTCTCTCCCCAAATCTATCTGTCCCATGAGGACAATCAAGATCCGAGTAACATTGCTTGTTTTGATTTCTGATGCTGCTATGTTGCAGCTCAATCCCAAATGGAGGACCCCCATGGACCTCCACTGAGGGGCCCCTCTGCGTTGTGTAGGGAATCCATGCCTGCCTTCAGAGGATTCTCTCTCAGGATGGGAGAAACATTCATTCCTCTCACAGCAGTGAGCAACAACATCTTTCAGCATGAGCAACAAATGACTCTCTGCAAACTTATCTTTTCTAAAGATCCCAGATGGATAAATACAGAGGGAAATGACTCCAAATGTTACCAAACTCACAGAAGAGAAGATTAATGTGAGATGAAAATATAATGAACTGGGTTGTTAATCATGGAAAGCATGAGATTGGCCACAGCAGTATAGTGCGAATGTGCTTTTGGAATCCTAAGTCCTTTAAATGCCAGAGAATGCTAAAGAAGGACCCCTAGGCTTACTAAGCCATCCATCAATAGCTCACATCATTTACAGTAAATTTTTCTCTTCCTTTCATGTTTTCCTTCAGAATTGCATTGCATGGCATTAGAGAGTCTAGTAATTGTCTAAATGGGAGAGAGAAAAAATCAACAGGTATGAGGGGAGAACTTAGGAAAGAGGGCAGCAGAACAAGGCAAAGGATCTAGGAGTGGTACATGAGAAGGATATAGAAGATGGGAGAAATGAATGTGACTAGAGAAAATAAAGGGTGTCCATGTCATCAAGCAATTTCCATCAAGTCTTGCTGAAAGGTGGGAAGCCTTTTCTGGAGGACACTCCACATCTCTTCAGAGACAAATTAAGACTCTGTCTGAAGAAAAGTGTTCTGTAATTTAGACTACAAGCTTCATGAAGGCAGGGATTTGTTTTGCCTCACGTAGAAACAAGTTAACAAAAAGTAGAAAGTACTCTGGGTTTGTATTCCAGATATAGTCTTTATTAGCAGTGTGCTGCTGAGCAAGTTATTTAAACCTCACTTCCCTTATCTTCACATAATGATTAAAAAAGCACCTAATTACAAGGTTGATCTGAGAATTATAGGAGATAATCCACAATGCCTAATAGGTAGTTAAGAGCTCAATACTTTTTAGCTATAGTTACTGTTATTATCCTAGATATATTCTCAACTCCTAGCCTAGTGCTTGACATGTAGTAAGGGCTAAATATCTATTGTATGAATGAACCAATGAAGTACTAAAGAATCTAGCTGTGCTTTTTCTTCCCTATGGTAATTACTTTTATTATTTTTAACATAAATATTGGCTCATGAAATGTCTATTGGTTTTAGATCTCAACACAATGGTTTGGGAAAAAATCCTGAGTGCAGGCTGCTAATTGATGAAAAGCAGAATAGAACTGTTTCTTAGTAGACTCCTCTAGACTTACTCATGTTTCTCCAGAAAGGTCAAGCCAATGGTCATGGTCACAGATAGGAAATGGTTAGGGCAAATCTTGAGTTCTCCACATGAGTGTGCAATCCCTCTTGAAATGGAATGCTTCATGCCCTAAATGGTCCACCTATACACTGGATGGAATTCTTATTAGGAGTACAAATTCAGAGAATCCCTTTCATTCAAAGAAGTTGGATTCAAACAAAGACTTTCACTTTTCTCTCTATGATGTTTGATAAAAGGGGAATAAAAGTTTTGGGGATTGGATAGATGCTGAGTTGCTATGATTCAGACTGTAGAGCTTCCACCCTCAGCCAGGACAAAGTGACAAGAGATGCAGGATATAGAGAGCTGAGTCCTTGGATGTCCAGGAGTCAGCCAGCAAGGCCAACAGTATCGAGTCTAGATCATGTCCAGCAGGGAGGATGGGAGAGCTGCCTCTCCACTCTACTATATTGAAATACTATTTCCCAAAGGGATTACCATCTTGTCATTGCCCTAAATTACTGGTTAAGTCAACAGTGGCTCTTGGAATAGGAAGACATGGGAATATGTGCCTCAGAGCAAAAGAGTGGCTATTCTTCTGATATCAGTTATTGTGCAGCAGAGTACAGAGTTAAAGATGAGCCTGGAAACCTACAACTGATTTGGGTAACAATAGCAGCAGCAGCCTACTGCATTTTATATTCTCACATTGTCCACGGTAAGAATTTAATAAATATTTATTGAGCCCTGCTGGCATGGTTCAGTGTCCTGATAAGGAACAAGACCAACCAAAGGGACAGACCAAATTCAACAGCATCTTTTCTACTTCCTAACGCCCTGTGGGCACTTCTCAATTCATTAGACTACTTTATCCTTATCCCTTCACCCCCTTCTAATAGTTCTGGGGGAATTAGGAAGCTACTGTATTTCTGGATACGATGTCAGGGATGAGCTGTTCCCTGAAAGAGGGCCATGTTATCCCCGGACCCATGCCTTGCTCACATTTTCCTGTCACCCATGTTTCTGAGCTACAGGAATTAATGCCAGGATTGGGTGTCAACCATCAAATACTGTTCCCAGAAGGAAAGAATCTGCCCTTAGCAGATTGCCTGAGAAGACTGTTCTTTCAGTGGTTGGTTAACAACCCTGTCTTGTTTCCTGTTTCTTTCTTCTCGTCATTAGGGGACACTCAGGACTTCTAACCCCAAAACTTTCATTAGCTCTTTTGAGATAATAGAGCACAATTCAGAGAGAAATACCAGACTCCAATTTCTTCCAACTGCATCCCATGCAATTCTGCTACCAAACAGAATAATTTGATTAAAAAGCAAAATTGAATCTTTTAATTCAGGACATACAATTCAAATTAATGAGGAAAAAAACCCCTTGTGACTGGCCCAGCCAGGTGTGGCTCAGTGGTTGAGTGTCAATTCAGGAATTCAGGTCACCAGTTCAATTCTCAGCAGGGGCACATGTCCTGATTGCGGACTCGATCCCCAGTAGGGGGCATGCAGGAGGCATCATCCCCACCCAATCACATGCCTCCTCTGCTATACATCACTTGTTCTTTCCTCCTGATTTTTCAAAACTTTTCATTTTTATTCTTCCTTCTATCTCTCCTGTTTTATATTTTCACTGCCTCTTTTCTGTTTAAACCTCCATCTTATTATTGTGAAAGAAAGCAAACATGCTTCCTTTCTGGACTGCCTGCGTACAGTCTTGCCCTGCTCCCAGTCCCCTTTCATATCAGGCTAAAAAATACTCTAATCATGGATTCCCGCTGGTCAGCAATGACCCCCTGCTGTCCATAACAATCCTTCTATTCTTATCCTGTCTCCCACGCTTCCTTACCCAGACATAGAAACCTGAGCTCAATAAACATAGATCAATGACATGAAAGCTGAAGGTGAATGGCACTTCTTCTCAAAGACACCTGTTTAGTTTTATTATCAGACCATGAGATTTCAGACGGTAAAGTCAGTGTCTTACCCATTTTATATTCTCACATTGCCCATGGTAAGAATTTAATAAATAATTAAATTCTTAAATAAATGCTGGCGTGGTTCAGTGGTGGAGTGTTTACCTACAAACCAGGAGATTATGGTTTGATTCCTAGTCAGGGCACATGCAGGGGTTGTGGGCTCGATCCCCAGTGTGGGACGTGCAGGAGGCAGCCGATCAATGATTCTCTCTCCACATTGATGTTTCTATGCCTCTTTCTCTCTGAAATCCATAATAATATATTTAAAAAAGGAAATGAATTAAGACCCATTCTCATTTCATTATAAAACAATTATTTATTTGGCACTTATTGCATGCCAGGTATTAAGTGATGATCTCATTTAACAAGATGGTAAAATTGAAATTTTGATTTGGTTCCTGGTTAAGTGGATATAGAAATCCAAAGTGAGGTGGCAAGTTGCCATGTGAAGGTTGACTGATACGTGTACCACATCTCCTTGCC